TTTTGTGTACTTGTCATGATGTCTTTTTGGCTTAACAGCATTCTTAATTCTCTGCTTGTGATAATGCTCTCCCTGAGTGTGAAAGTAGTCGCTCAGTGCTCACACTAGTAGTGAGTTAGAAATAAGGCACTATTACAGTCAGCTTTTATTACTGCGAACTCTGAAGGCAATGGCATAGCATATTCCGATTAAACAGGAAGTAGTGGCAGGCCTTTGTGCCTGAGAAGATAAGAATGTCAAGGGGCTGTGTCTTATGACAGATAACCTCACTGCAGGTACAGCTTTGTCTACTCAGTGGGATGAATGGGGCCCCAAGCTTTGACCTTCAGGAACTCTCAAAACAGTGACTACCTCACTGATTACTTTTGCCCTCATCTGCTATCATCCTTCAGTTTTCCTAGGCTGTAATCTCCACATGAGGCAGGATGCCAGCCCTCTTTAGATAACAGTAATAAGAACAAAGCAATGATAGGCTAAGTCCTAGATAACCCCTTGCCTGAACAAGCTGGTACACTCATTCATCCATCCAATCAACCAGTCATATGCTGATATTATAGAGTATCTCGTACATGGGAAAATCCAGGGAAGTAAAAAACTGCAATAACACTGCAAAAGTAATCAGCGTTTTTAGGACTTTATGGATCACTATTGAGATAGAGTCACATTAAATATGGGGTTAATTATAAGGACATGTAGGTACATGGGGTCAAAATCTTGTACCATATGGAGGTATAGAAAGTTACTCTGATTGGGAACTTCTAGGAAGGACTCCAGAGCAGGAGAGCTAGGACCTGAGGGAAGAGAGCAAAGCAGAGTAATGAACCAGGTGGGGGTTACGGAACCCAGGCAATGAGAGCATGGAAAAAGAGATGGTCATCAGCACATCAGCATAAGGAGATGAAAAACTGGATATATCAAAGGATAATGTGAAGAAAGATTATAAGAATATGCTATAGACTGGCTAGAGAAGAGAAAGATCAGAAAGTTAGCCCACAGGACCATCTTTCCTCTAAGTACAATGGCAAGACAGTAAAATGTATTCAGCAAGAGTGTTGAGAAAATGGCATGGTGACAGTTTTCATTCAAAATGATCACTCTGTCTATCACGTGGAGGGGGGACTGAACACTATCCTAACATGCAGGAAGCCAAAGAGCTATATTCCAGAGTAGATGATAGTGAATGGGAAAAACCTTTATCAGGAGAGAGAGAGAGAGTGTGTGTGTGTGTGTTCCTCTGAAAACTGTCTCTGATAGTCCATGGGCTTGGGATCAGTAATCTGAAGGTTTGTTATCAGTATTTCTGATACTAACTTTCCCCTTAATGCAGATAGCCAATCACTCGCCAAGACCCATGTGCTTCAAGATCCCTCAGGAGGATTCTCAGCCCTGCCATAGTCCAAGATAACATGCAGATGATGTTGGGGCTGTGTCAGATGTTGGGGCCCTCTTCCCAAATGTTGTGTTAGTTTTGCTTGTATTTGCATTTGTTCAAAGATGAACTGACTACAATATAAGCTTTTGTATTTTTATTTGGTTATACGAAGGGATGATGAAACTTCACAGAATTCAGAACTGGAGAGGCTAAGCATGTTTCCATAAGACAACATAGAACTCAATTCAGTTTTGGTGGACCGGAACTCAGTCCCCAGGTTCTGTGATGCACATGGTCAGAATTAGCAGCTGCTTTAGCTGGGTGTGGTGGCTCATCCCTGCCTGCAACCTCAACGCCTGGAAGTGTGTGGCTCATGGATTGTCATGACTGAGTTCATCCTGGATGCTTGGTAAGCTTTAGGTCAGTTTTGAGTACAGAATGAACTGTGTCTCAAATAAATAAATAAACAAATAAATATATAAATACTGCCTGTTCTAGGAAAATTAGGTATTAGGAGATACTGGGGTAAACTGTGTAATTCCTAAGGGCTGTGAGTTGTTAATGCTTGATCAAGGATGCCTTACATAATGCCTGCAGATAATTATTTTGTGTTCAATGCCATTTAAATAGCATACATTTCTATGTACTTGTATTTTTAAATTTAAATTCTTCAAATATCAGTGATGCACATACATCACTACCGCCTCTTCCTCCTCTAGTCATTTCATGCCATTTGTTTCTTCCAAATTTATGACCTCTTTATCTTTAATTTTATATGTATATATCCTATACACGTATACATATACATATATACTGAGTCTATCATTGTCCATGTGTATATGATTGACTACTTAGGATCAGACAAGCAATGTTGGACTCTCACTCCTGGAAGTAACCCATTCTCCCTCTCTCAGCAGGCATTGTTAGCTGTGGCCCTTCATCCTGGTATAGGAAATTGTGGGGTTTCCTCCTCCTATGTTAGCATGTCAACTACTGTGGCCATTAGTGCCAGTCTTGTTAAGAGTTTATAGGTTGATTGTATATGCGATTATATTCTCTCATTTGGCTACTAAAACTTCTGGGATAAAGAAAAGGAAGATTTGATTTCTATTAGACACAATGGCTGGAAACCAATGCATGTAGAAGTCCAACAGATGTTTAATGTCATATAGCTACTTAGAAAGTGTAAAAAAAAATTAGCATTATCTAGGGTTTAAGTTGTCTATGTAGCTCAGCCCTCTGTTAGACTGAGAGAGAGGTGGTATCAAAGAT